CAGTATTTTAGTTTTACTTTTATTTATTTTCATACAGTACTGATCTGTCAGTACCGCTTCCATTTTATTTAAAGCTATCTCTAGGTCCTCCTTGCTAGATGCTAATACTGCTATATCATCTGCAAATCTAAGCATACTAATCTTTTGCCCTTGCACGTCTATCCCTACAGTTGTACTGTCTTTAATGATGTTGATGGCGTCTTCGATGTATAGATTAAAAAGTAGTGTTGACAGTGTGCATCCCTGTCTGACTCCCTTCCTAATATTTACTTCTCTCTATTGCAGCCCCATCTCTATAACTGCCTGTTGCTCTTTTTACAAACTTAGTATCACTCTTCTAGCTTTGCAATTCATCCCTACATTTTTAAGTATATTTAACATCTTGTCCCATTTAAGAGGTAGTTTATAGTGGATAAAAAATTGAAAATGAATTTTTACATTAATATTTCATAAAAACCACTATTAAAAATGTCAAACTATTTCATATATGTAGTATTACATAATTACATTAGTTCGACAGATCTGTGACCTCTTAAGTACGGTTTGTCGTGTAGCCGTTGTCACCTCTCGCAGCTTAGTGGTTAGAGCATTGGTGCGTAAAAGGGTGTGACAACATCATATAAAATTAGTGACATACACACCTATTTCAACATTTTACAAAATTCTACCTCTTTAGGAAACTGAAAGGGATTTGCAAAGATTGCATGTTTTTTTTGGTCCGATTTAGTTGAAACTGGTTAAAAAATTCAATCTCTGTTGGGGGAGAGGAATGATGAAGTGGAGTTGCAATATTTAAATGGAACATATATTATTTGTGGTCAGCTTTACTTGAAATTTGGTCTGAATGGTCTCTCAATTAATTTCTGAAAGACCTATTTCGACATTTTAAAAAATTCAACCTGCAAAGGGGGGAGGCGGTAAAAAAGTGTTGTAATTTTTGTTTGGAATACACTTTATTTGTGGTTGAATGTACTTGAAACTTCGGACATATCCTATTTGATATTATTATTCAAATGAAAACGTTTTTATGGGGTATATTTTATTTGTACTCGGATTTACTCGAAGGTTGCTCATTGTTGAAATTAAGCAAATACGTGTTTTGGAAATTTTTAAAAATTAACCCTTAGGGATGAAATGTTGTTGTTATGTTTGTATTTGAAATCCAAGATGACGACATTACATAAAATTAAAACGTTGTAAGGGTGAATTGGAAGTTAAAAGGTTTTATGGAGAAATAATATTAATTTCTGCGAGCGAAACCGCCGGGAAAAGCTAGTTAATTAATATATTCCTTTCCAGGAACAAAACATTTTTAGTATTCGAAATTTTCAGTTTGATTTACTATATTTTAACACTAAACATAAAAAAAAAGAAACTTTACCACTGTACGAAAAAACGGATCTACAAGAATATCATCGGAGTAAGTGGTCTTTATTCCTATGTCTGGTTAACATATAGTTGAAATATAGTAATATAGAGTAATATAGAGACAAAGTAATTGGTTTTCGATATATAGTCAAGTACCTTGTACTATTTTGTTCGCTAAAAGGTCAGTTCATGCGTTGAAGGAAGGCTCAATTTATGCATTGAAGGAAAGATAAGTTCTTCAGTTTTCATAATTCTCACAACTATTTCTAATGTCATCAGAAGTTCGCATGTATGACAGAGAATGTACTACATTCCGATTTTCTAACTCTAGGACAGAAATACAATTTTAGTTCATTTTCAACTACTGTTTATTTATATTTTTACTTTTAATTCTATTGATTTTTGTTGATAGTCATGTCAAAATAACTGTTCCAATCTCAACCTTAAGTTTTTCTTCAAATATTCGTAATAGCTTTATTAACTTCTATTCTTTGTTTCTAACTGCGCAATAAAGTTTTTAATCTCCTCAAAAGTAGTGTAGTATTTATCGTTTCTAGCCCACTGAAGAAAACTGGAGAATTGTTTTCACCACTGCTTCCTTGGTATATGTGATAAGTGCAATTTTCTTTGCAATATTTGCTTCTGGAATACGTCAAAAATGGGACAGTGAAGATAAAGTTGAAACGACTAAGACTGAGACTGTAGAACTTTCAATAAAAGAATAGTATAGATATTAAAACAAAAGTTTTTCTACATTCCTCTTATATTTAAAAACTGATGATTTTGCCAAGAAGCTTTTATATTTGTTACGTACATTATTTTTTTTTGTTAATTAATAAAATTATTCTAATGAAATCTGTGTTTAATACATGAACGAAACCATCTTAACAATTACCAAAAATAAACTAACAACACTAATTTGTTAAACAAAATGACTAATATTGTATCTTACCTCAGATTGTAATTTTTCTTTTATATACCTATTAGATATTTTTATTTTTGAGAATAAATTGCACGAGTATCTTGTTAAATTCAGGAGGTTCTGGGAAACAGCGTTAGATGGTTTCAAAATGCTCACGTGAGTCAAAAGTATACTAAGAACTTTCGACAACAACGTTCAAAGTGTTGGGTTTTGGTAAAAAAAAAGTGTAATACTTAAACAGAATTGAAGAATAGGAATTTAGTGAACAACGCAGTAATCTGTTTTAGTTGCATTTTCACAGTTATACATTGTTTTTCTTTATTTCCTGAAAGTTTTCTTTGTCGACAAACGTTTGAGTTTCCAACACATTCTAGATCCAAGGTGGAGATGTCGCCACCAGAACGTTTTTCCAGAAAAGTTCGTTGCATTGTGAATCGTATGTTATATGTTTTACCTATGCAATAAACAGAATGTAGTCGAATCGCATAGTATCATTTGACTAATTAAAAAACTAAGTAACGACATTGCTGGTCATAACAATTATGTGTTTTAAGACTCACTTACCTAAGCTTTTTTTAAATGCTTTGATAGTAAAATATGAGGACGCATTACATTACCATTAACCAAACTAAAAATACGGCTTTAGTATTCAAAAATAGCAAATGCTACAGTTTTATAAATTACTTATTTGATAAAACGCATATTAAGATTACAATTTCTACCCTGCGCTATTATTATGTATCGCGTCGTTTGGCTTTGGCTGTGATGAGGGTATTTAAAAATACTTTTGCATGCTTTAATCTCACCACCTGCTAATGCTGATGAGCTATTCCACTGGCCCATACTTCAAAGCCGGAATAGTAAAAATTGTTGACCGGGGAAGGTAGACCGAACTCGAATCGGCGTCCTACCGACTAAACTAAGCGAAGATCTAATCTGCAGGACTATAACGATACTTATTGCCCTTTGCTCAAACAAGAAATACAAACTTAAAGGGTATTCCTGGATAGGATAGGTGAAATTGCACCTCGCAGTTCTTTGTAAAATACCTATTGGAACTTGCTGGTTTAATTTTTTTTAATGGGGAAAAAATCAGGAAAAAAAATCATGAGTATACAATATTAAATAGTCCACTTGAATGAATTTTTTCAGACTTTTTGAGACCTTTCTTCTTGGCCAATAAAATTCCGAAAAAATTGTTTTCCATGTGTCTTCGAGCAGCAAACTGAACACCAACGATTTTCTTTAAAACGCGTTTTAAAGTTTTGAAAATACAAAAATGGTGTTATTTTCGATTTTTCGAGTCATATCACAGTAAAGCCAGTACCATATCTAACAACAATAATAACGACTATAATAATTGGAGAGCCAAAACAATTTGCCGTTTTTGAATTAAATACGCATTTTCGGGGTTTTTCAAGTTTTGGCAGCCTCGACAAAATTTTTCTGACACTAGGAATCGACTAACTTGATTTCATATTAAAAGNTTTTTTACGTATATCGAGTATTTTTGGAGTTATTATCAAATGAAAATGAAATTTACGAAAATTTGATAAATTCTGATTTTTTTAGATCATATTGTTTTTCCAAAAATATGCATTCTAAACCGGTCAAAATTTTTAAAGTCATTAGTTATTCTAGAATGAAGAATGTCTTATAGGGATTAGTATAAATTTTAATTTTTGTGGAAATGGCGTAGGTTACATTTTTCACTTTTTCCTAAAATATTCGAAAGGGTCCTCTTATTTTCATCATAACTTGCTTAATTTTGATGGTATCAACTTCTTCTGCAGTTCATTTGATAGGTATTTCTGAGTACTTTCAAAATTGTTTTGCAAGTATATTTTATAAAATGCATCGTTTTCCCGTTATTTAAGCTTGAATACTTAGATTTGAGTACTCTCAGGAAAAAAGTATACATTCAATTACCTATAGCTCACTTTGAATTAATATTAAAAGGTTTTTTAAGAATGGAGTTTTTTTGTTTTTTCCTAAAAAATTCGAAAGGGTCCTCTTATTTTCATCATAACTTGCTTAATTTTGATGGTATCAACTTCTTCTACAGCTCCTTTGATAGGTATTTCTGAGTACTTTCAAAATTGTTTTGCAAGTATATTTTATAAAATGCATCGTTTTCCCGTTATTTAAGCTTGAATACTTAGATTTAAGTACTCGCCGGAAAAAAGTATACATTCAATTACCTGTAGCTCACTTTGAATTAATTTTAAAAGGTTTTTTAACGATGGAGTTTTTTTGTGTTTTTATTAGCTTCAATTTTGGTAATGACAATTTTTTTGTAAAACCTAATAGTTTTTGAGTTATTTATGAAAAACGGCTTTAAAACATGTATTTTTTTCACGAAAAATCAAAATCTTTGATCTTTAATAACTTAAAAAGTATTGATTTTCGCGCTTTATACAGTATCANGAGGTGAAAACCTTCAGTGACTGTACTACATTCCGATTTTCTAACTCTAGGACAGAAATACAATTTTAGTTCATTTTCAACTACTGTTTATTTATATTTTTACTTTTAATTCTATTGATTTTTGTTGATAGTCATGTCAAAATAACTGTTCCAATCTCAACCTTAAGTTTTTCTTCAAATATTCGTAATAGCTTTATTAACTTCTATTCTTTGTTTCTAACTGCGCAATAAAGTTTTTAATCTCCTCAAAAGTAGTGTAGTATTTATCGTTTCTAGCCCACTGAAGAAAACTGGAGAATTGTTTTCACCACTGCTTCCTTGGTATATGTGATAAGTGCAATTTTCTTTGCAATATTTGCTTCTGGAATACGTCAAAAATGGGACAGTGAAGATAAAGTTGAAACGACTAAGACTGAGACTGTAGAACTTTCAATAAAAGAATAGTATAGATATTAAAACAAAAGTTTTTCTACATTCCTCTTATATTTAAAAACTGATGATTTTGCCAAGAAGCTTTTATATTTGTTACGTACATTATTTTTTTTTGTTAATTAATAAAATTATTCTAATGAAATCTGTGTTTAATACATGAACGAAACCATCTTAACAATTACCAAAAATAAACTAACAACACTAATTTGTTAAACAAAATGACTAATATTGTATCTTACCTCAGATTGTAATTTTTCTTTTATATACCTATTAGATATTTTTATTTTTGAGAATAAATTGCACGAGTATCTTGTTAAATTCAAGAGGTTCTGGGAAACAGCGTTAGATGGTTTCAAAATGCTCACGTGAGTCAAAAGTATACTAAGAACTTTCGACAACAACGTTCAAAGTGTTGGGTTTTGGTAAAAAAAAAGTGTAATACTTAAACAGAATTGAAGAATAGGAATTTAGTGAACAACGCAGTAATCTGTTTTAGTTGCATTTTCACAGTTATACATTGTTTTTCTTTATTTCCTGAAAGTTTTCTTTGTCGACAAACGTTTGAGTTTCCAACACATTCTAGATCCAAGGTGGAGATGTCGCCACCAGAACGTTTTTCCAGAAAAGTTCGTTGCATTGTGAATCGTATGTTATATGTTTTACCTATGCAATAAACAGAATGTAGTCGAATCGCATAGTATCATTTGACTAATTAAAAAACTAAGTAACGACATTGCTGGTCATAACAATTATGTGTTTTAAGACTCACTTACCTAAGCTTTTTTTAAATGCTTTGATAGTAAAATATGAGGACGCATTACATTACCATTAACCAAACTAAAAATACGGCTTTAGTATTCAAAAATAGCAAATGCTACAGTTTTATAAATTACTTATTTGATAAAACGCATATTAAGATTACAATTTCTACCCTGCGCTATTATTATGTATCGCGTCGTTTGGCTTTGGCTGTGATGAGGGTATTTAAAAATACTTTTGCATGCTTTAATCTCACCACCTGCTAATGCTGATGAGCTATTCCACTGGCCCATACTTCAAAGCCGGAATAGTAAAAATTGTTGACCGGGGAAGGTAGACCGAACTCGAATCGGCGTCCTACCGACTAAACTAAGCGAAGATCTAATCTGCAGGACTATAACGATACTTATTGCCCTTTGCTCAAACAAGAAATACAAACTTAAAGGGTATTCCTGGATAGGATAGGTGAAATTGCACCTCGCAGTTCTTTGTAAAATACCTATTGGAACTTGCTGGTTTAATTTTTTTTAATGGGGAAAAAATCAGGAAAAAAAATCATGAGTATACAATATTAAATAGTCCACTTGAATGAATTTTTTCAGACTTTTTGAGACCTTTCTTCTTGGCCAATAAAATTCCGAAAAAATTGTTTTCCATGTGTCTTCGAGCAGCAAACTGAACACCAACGATTTTCTTTAAAACGCGTTTTAAAGTTTTGAAAATACAAAAATGGTGTTATTTTCGATTTTTCGAGTCATATCACAGTAAAGCCAGTACCATATCTAACAACAATAATAACGACTATAATAATTGGAGAGCCAAAACAATTTGCCGTTTTTGAATTAAATACGCATTTTCGGGGTTTTTCAAGTTTTGGCAGCCTCGACAAAATTTTTCTGACACTAGGAATCGACTAACTTGATTTCATATTAAAAGAAATACATTCTAAAAGAATTAATCTACTTTTGGTAGTTTAAAACAATCACAAACATAAAATTGTTGCAATCAAAATGGTTCATACTTAATCGGATGTGTTCGGATTAAACGTAACCGTAGATCAATTCCCAACCGATACATTACCTGTTTCTATTTTTCTGTCTACAACATACACGTAGAATTTTTATTTGACACAGTACTTTTCTAATAATGTAGGTCTCATGTAGTGATGAGCAAAATTGGTCATGCTCTCTCTTTCACAAGGCCAAAACCAACACCGTCTTTATACTAGCAAGACCATGATCAAGGCCGAACGAACAAAACTAGGACTAAAACTATGACCGAACGAACAAGACCAAGAATAAAACCAAAATCGAAC